TCCTGTCCCAGCAAAACTCTGCACACGCTCACAGTGCAGGGAAGCGTATCCCGGACCAACAGGCTTGTGAGTGAACAGTCAGCAGCAATGGTCCAGATCTGTCCAGCGTGGAAATGTGTAACTACAACAGATATATGACTGTACCTGTACTGTGCACGATGAAGACCGACAGTGGCAACACTTGCACACCACAAGCATTGCATTGCCAGAAAATGATCATTCCGCTACATTTCGCAGGTTGTTGTGCACACTGCTTTTAGGCAAAGCGTTGAAACGACCTCTGACTTTACGGCTGGACGTGCATATGACTGCTACACTCTTCCAGGGCATTCCCATGGAATTGTTTGGGAGATATATTTGCAGGGAATTGATGGGCCATCCACAGAATTGGCATGCATATCTGCCACATCCAACCCCCAAGGTCACACAAGTGGCCTTTCTTGGCAAAGCTGCAAACAACCAGGCATTGTTCTTATGCTCTTGAGGCGCTCGAGGCCCAGCGTGCACACATGGAATACAGACATGAGTTCAAGGCTGAACCCCCAAGTCCCCAAACTATTGCTGCAACAATCAAAGTGCATCAGCTTCCGCTGTGTGGCACAGGGAACGCTGTGTGGAGTTCACTGTTATCCATGCCAAGCGCACGTGGTCCCCTGCCTCCTCTAGCATGCACTGGCCATCTGCAGCTTTCCTTGGGGTTCGATCGGTCGAACAGCAGCAGTTGCATCAGGTGTTTGGCATGCAACAGACCCTCAGGGGTCACCCCAGCGCCACACAGACCCACAAATGGATGGCCTAACTATCCCTTCACACACACGCACACGCGGCACATAACCGAGGACTGCAGCTAATAACACTAGAACGCAAAGGACATCATCTGTCAGGACGGGGTTGGCATCGGATCCCTCAAACTAGAGCGACAATGTGAAATCCACAAAGGAGTCAAAGAGAGGGACAGCAAGGATATTGGCAATTGCAGCGAAGCCTATTGCACCCCCAACGCCGCCCAGGTGGAACTGCCTGATTGGCGTCTTTGAGCTACCATCACCCCGTGGGCGAAGGCCCATCCCTGGCTACGGCCCCAGGTTGACGTCCCAGCGCCTCCGAGTCCCAAGCACCGTATGTGCATGTGCCACATTCGCGGATTGTGGCCGCGTCCAGTGTCTTAGCCCGGCGGATATAGGAATCATTTCCGTACCGTAGGGCTCCTCACTACTGCACAGACTACTGCGCCCCACCCACGGATTCAAAAACGAAAATGGGCCCCGCTGGTCGCGCCGCAGCCTAGCGCTCGCGCGCGCAGCTTCCTCGCGCAAAAGGGCACGCTGATAGGCACGCTTCGCGCCGCTCGCCGCGTTCTTAGAGTGGGCCGCGGGCGAGCGCCATGACGGGATGCCCTCAACGCGCAGTGCGTGGAGGGCAGCGGAGCTCAGCGGTGGCAGTACCTGACTGGGACGCGCATGGCGCCTAAGGGCAGTGGGGGGACGCGCACTCTCGCGCTGACCTCTTAAGGCGGACGCAGGGACGCTGACCTGATTCTCGCTGTGGGGAGGAGAGCGTGCGTGGAGCAGAAACAACAGTGGAGACGCCACAGCCAACAGACACGACGCCACGCGAGGGAGGCAATGCACACTAAGCCGCACCGAGTGAAGAACCAGCACGCAAGGGCGCCACCATGCCAGGTGAGCATCACTGCTCCGTTTTCATCCCGCGCCCCCTCCGCCTGCTGCACGCCCAGGCCCGCGATTGTGCACTCTGCTGCCCCGGGGCAGCAGCCACGCAGACAACGCCTGTGCGCCAAACGCCTCAATTTCCCAGTGCGACCCATCCAGACATGGAAAACTAAGTGCCGCGCTGGGTGCGGGGATTCGAGCGCGATATTGGACGCTGGCCACGCAACCTCTCATGCATTTCGCAATGCCTGCCTCCATGTGACAGCCCACTCGCCTTGCCCCAAGAGCAAGCGGAATGAAAGTGCGAATCCGCGGGACAGCGGGCGCAGTGCGGCAACAATAATGCGTGCCGCGAACAGGGGTGAGTGCGCGCCATGCCAGCACAGTCAAACCGCGGCTTGCACCGCGTGTTGATGGCGTGACATTAGTAGACCTGCGACAGAAACGTACCTGGACAGGACGACGCTGCGCTGGCAGCACGACGCTCACCACACCATTGGCAAGCCTGTGCTAAGATAGGAGGTGCAAATGTTGTGTGAACACCGTTGTTGGCTTCATTGCAAAAGACTCGGCAAACACAGAAATGTAAAAAAGCAGGTTAAGCGCTTGGTCCAGAAAACCATGGCAGACGCAGTGACCACTCTGTATGCACCAACAGTTAATTCCCAGAATACAGTGTTCTCTAGAATCCCTTGTGGAGTTGCGCAAAGATCGTGGAGTGGAAATGGGGCAGCCACTACAAGGTGGACATACAGGTGTGGAAAATCTGCAAGTCTGGCGACTATTGTTGATATTTTACATTGCCTTCCTCAACCGACTCATGAATCAACCAACCAATGCATCCTTTCACAGAGCAACCATTCAACCGATTCAATCGTCTCCTTCATTGCATTCACAGCTTCACGTACACTACCATATCACTGATTCAACCATGTGTGTTTTCATTACGATGCCTCAATTCGTTCATCAACCAATCAACAAAACAAGCAATCAACGCATCTGAACATCTAGCAACTCATGGCTGCTAGCATATCCTCATGCTCTTCCTACACAGTAGTCGATGTTGTCCTCACACTTGGACCACCATTCTTTTTGCTTATTAGCAAATTCTGCACTGTGGTGGATGACTTTGCTGTGCCTGTCCAGATCCATACCTGCATCACCATACCTACACCCGCCACTCCTGTGACACGGTGTCAAATTCACTGATGTCAACATCCATGCTTGTGCCCGTGTGAATGTATGCACATTCATATACAGTGATTCAGCTTGTTGTCAGAGCCCTTGTCACCATCAAACATTGATTACCAAACTCTGCACTTCTGTGAATCACTTTGTTGTATCTCTGCACGTGCCCACGTACACAACATGTTTGTAAAAGCCACGCTTGTCATGCAATACCGAATTCAATCATGGCAATTTGCAGGCTTGCTTTCATGTAGACATACAAACACCAATAATATTCAGTCGCTACTTAGAAAGAAAGTGGCTGCAATATGATGAACTGATCATCTCATATTCTGTGCTGTGCAGGACTGCGCAAACAACGAGCAGGCAACAGAAACAACATTTTGTTCCTCAACTTGCTGGCGTTATACCAATCTACACTTTGCAAGCTATTTATTTCCTCTCGTTTTCTCTCCTCTCTTCCTTCTCCTCTTTGCGCTGTCTTTCTCAGTCTCCTCATACTAACAGTTGTGCTCTCTGCGCGCTAAGGGAATGCAGTGGTCCTGAGGAGTAAACACAAATGCGGTAGTTACTGGCCAAGAAGCCGGGCGCCAATTCGGCGCCATATTTAAATACGGTCACCCAATTGCTCACCCCATCCACCCAATTTCCACACCTCACACACGTGGCACGTGCACCATTTCACATCTCCGCACACACCACCAAATTGACTACAAACTCCTATATGCGAACACATTCTACGCCACACTTTTTGGCTACTATTTGCACCGGCACAGCAACCCCACCACAACGCAACCATGCGCATACACCCCAGCACCACCCCATACACACACACACCTAACACTACACAATGCACAACCTGCACTCCCCACCCCAACCAAACACAATGGCAAGCCCACTCACTCACCAATCACCCGCAATGCCATCACATACGCTGCAAACAAACACACGTTTTGGACACCAATACCTAAATATCTTGTGCTATACGATGGCTCTAATGCTTCACAGCAACCATGACAACAAAGCAACAAGGACGATCATGATAGCAATTTTCATCCCCTGCATGATGAACAATGCCCACAATGGCAATCGTGGTAGTGCTGCTACAGCTATTGTGATGGCCATCACTCCCTCTGATGCAGCTGATGCTGCTCACGTTCATGTCGTCATGGTGATGGTGACAAGCATAGTGATGCACACAGTGATGTTGATGGCGAGGTCATCAAAGACGGTCAAGAAGTCCTCAAAAAAGCTGACAGCATGGCACACGCCAGTCATGGTGATCATCATGGCAATGGTGATGGTGACGCTCAAGACCACGGTGAAGGGACTCATGGCCATTGTCGTTATGCGTTCCATGGGAACACTGGTGGCGGTAAAATGAGGTTATGACCGTGGCATATCCAAAAATGGGCGTGGGCTACATGTCGATAGCCATCCAAACGGAATAAACAACAAACACCACATGGAACACTTTCAATCTATTACACGCTTCAATTTTTGACACATTTGCCACCCAAGGGATTACTGAACATTTGTGTTTGGGAATCCAACGCTCTGAACACATTGCATCATTTTCTAAAACCACTGCGAGCACTGTGGGCCTTGAACAGGGCGCAAGGCTGTGCGGGATTCCCTGGAAAGGCCTGCGCTTCTGAGTGCGGTTCCAGGCTCGGCGAAGATGTGTGTCTTCCAGTTACTCAGCGCCCTGGATTGGGCAGTCGGCGAAGCGTTGGGCGGGTCACAGCGATAGGCGCCCCATTTGCGCGTCGCTGGCGCGAGGTGTCTGATATGGGGCATTGCAATTGTCGTCTTGGAATATGTTGATTACAATTAAGAGTCCACCGACCGCCACGCGGCGGCACGGTTCTAGGGAATAGCCCGGCGGATAGTGGGTGGGCGTGGAAGGCATCATGCAGCCGTTTTTTTAGGCGAGCTCGGTGTCGCTACATCGTTGTGCGGCATGCGAGATTGTTTCTTGCGGGCGTGGTGAACACGAGTGCAGCAAGAGCACCCTACGCACCGCGCTGCTGCGGATTGCCGTACGTCCCGTACCTGTCCAGTCCAGCGTCCAGCAGCGGAGAGATCTCATGCACGACTGCATCAGGCGGCATCAGCTGGCCAGTGAATTGCGCGCCGCGCCTTTGGCCTGGGAGGCTGACGTCGTGGGGCCCGTGGGCGCTCACTGTCCAGCGCCTCCCGCGACTTCTGGACAGAGGTTGGCTCCATGGGCAACTGGGGCGGGGCAGGTCTGCCTGGGCCTCCTGTGGGAGCCACGGGCTCTCGCGAAGGTCGGGCGGTGGCGGAGGGGGGTAATAGCAACGGATGAGCACCCTTGACGTTTTTGGCAGAGTCGCCATGTCCCCGCTTCATCATCATCACCTTCATCATCATCATGTTCAAGGTGTCACCATTCACATGTGAACGATATACACACACTTCGACGACAACCGCACAGCCGTCGAAGTTGCCTCATGATGCCTGACGATCTTGTAAGCCACCTGTGCATGTTTGGGGCTCAAGCAGCGGGTAGGTGCCCCTGGCATCCGCACCAGTCCCCTGGCGCAGACTTTGCGCTGTCTTCTCCACCACCGTCCGCAGCCTGCCCTCTAATCTCCGAACGTCGGCGCACTCCTCCAGGCTATGCGCCATGCAATACAGCTCCAACTCCGCCCAGTTGATGAAGCTGCTGAAGTCGTCGCCGTAATCCATGTTGGCTGTTTGTACTGGTCCCAGAGGCCAACCTGCTGTCTGACCCGCTTCCACATGTGAATATCCTCTTCGGAGCGCCAGTTGGGCTGCAGTGGTAGCAGCTGTGGGCCTTCAGGAGCGTCCGATGGCGGCCTGGGGGAGGGTGGGGGGTGGGGCGCTTGTCACGGGGTGTGCGTTGCGATACCGGCGTGTGCTACGGAATCATGACCTAAAGGCAAAGAAGACGGCCAAACCAGCGAGATTCTGTGGAACGCCATATCAAGCACCCTATAACCTGGAAAACACCACTGACCCGCTGACTGGCGTGTTGGTCTTGGCCCTGGAAGAAGAAGTATGTTTACGGAAAAGACAGAAGGGCTAACATATTTTCCTCTGCCATGGGCTGGCTCCCGCTTCAGGGTCCTGTGGCGATTTTCTATGTACAGTAGGAGTCCCTACATAGCGCCCCCAATAGCAACCCCTTTTTGGCTTGCCACCATTTCTGTAGTACTTTATGCAGCTGCGCTGCGTAATGAGACCTCAAACTAGTATTGTGGACACCCAAGAGAGGTGTCCGGTGGACGGACGCCGCAGCGGCCGACCGCTTTGGTGAGCTTGGCATATCCCGGATGGGCGGACGGCACATCTGGTGCTGGGGTGTTGACTGGTGTTGACCATGGAATGGGCACTCGCGGCACTGTGCAGGATCATCTCAACCGGCATGTGGGGGTGGTGCAATGTGCGCAAGGTGGTGCTTTGCAGCGTAACTTCACGGTGGGGGCGTGGGCGGCGGCCCACAATTTGCTTGGGTAGGGGGTTTAGGCGGCGGCCGACAAATTTGCTTGGCTGGTGGTCGCTGCGCCTCAACTATTGCATTAACACAGGGGAAGCGCTTGATAATGCAGGAGTACTCTATTCATAAACCCCCCCACATTACTGATATTTGCAAAAATGCTCAACGTGTGTGTGTGTGTGTGTGGGTGCGTGGGTGGGTGGGGTGTGGGTGGGGGGTGGGGGGGCATTTCCCATTCTCTACGGTATGTGCAGCGCTGTCTGGTTGGGCGCAATCTGCATTCATAATGCGAGCAATGCCATGCAAGTCCACGTGATGAGTTGTGACGGGCACCATGTACCATCAGTGCAAGCCCAAGCACGGTGTTTCACTACTATAACAAGATGGCACATGGTACACGCATGTGATGGGCCAGTTTGGCATGTGAAAAGGCCGTAACATGGCTATTGGTTCTGCTTCTGCGTCTTCTTATGATGGTGAGTGCTATTTTATGACTAAAACTATAATTAAATAAATCAAACAAACAACAAATTTTATTGCCCTGCCTCCAGTAGCGCCCCCTTTTTCGGCCATGTCAACCGGGGTGGGGGGGGGAGCAGGCGCCATATAGGGACCCCTACTGTACCCCTACCGAGATGACCAGTTGGAGGATGTGTATTGATACTTAGAAATAGTTGTTTAATTGACTGGTCTGATCTGCTGCAACCTCGTTTGAGTTGCTGAGCCTGGCGTGGAATTAGTGAGTTTACGCCATATTAATTTTCCTGTTCTTTGTTTGATGTCTAAGAGTCCACCTCGAGAGAGCCACCCTCGCTGCAAACCCCCACGCGGGACTCCCCTGACGTATGACTGAGCCAGAATGGAGCTGTGAGCTGGGGCATGGGAAGCTGAGCCGGAATGCTGTCTTAAGCTACATGAATCATCACTAAGGGAGACCTGAGCCGGGAATTCATCGTCAGTAAGCTATTTTAGTTATGTGCGTTCGTTCTGATAGAATGCCAAGGCCCAGAATATGGATTGCAATGGCGGGCATTATTGACTTCACTATATTTTACTGATTTGATTGATTTGATTACAGGATCATTATGAAGGGACGTACTTTGGACTGAACATGATTGTTGGGGATTGGAATTACTTGCTGGGGACTAGAATTGCTTGCCGGGGATTGGAATTGCTTGCTGGGGACTGACATTGCCTTTTGGGGACTCGAGTTGCTTGCTGGGGGCTGGAATCACTTGCTGGGGGCTGACATATAGCTGGTTGTACGGAACATATGATGGTTCGTACCATGCTGGGGACAAGTGTTCGAGAACTTGAGACGTCTGGGGACTCCTCTTTGACGGCATACGCGAAACAATGCTTGCTTAACATGTCTTTCTGGGGCTTCTACTTTTGCTGTTTTTCAGAACTGTCCTCGGACAGTGTGTGCCGCATCCCGTTTCGCCTGCGGGGAAGGAGGCGACCGCAATGTCTTCCAATGATCGGGACCGCATTCAACGGCCGTCAACCTATTGTGCTGGTTGGTCTGGCATTTACAGGTCTGCAGCTGGACAGGCCTGGTCTGCATCCGTCTGGCGCGGCAAGGTACGTGGGTTGCCGCCCACTACGAAAAAGAGCCAAATACCGTGTGTTCAAACGTGCACAAAGTTTACGGAGTTTGGGTTATTTTCGTGGTTTAATCATCCAGAAAGTGTTTGCGGTCTCTTCGCCTGATTTCCACTTTCAGATCCCCGCAGCGTGGCACCCGGCAGTCGGTCGTGTGGCAGCCGCGAGCGTGCAGCTGCAGGAACGTCCACATCCGCCTGCACTCCTAACAGCCGCCCCGCATTGACGGCGGGCACTGCACGATGGGTTGGTACAGCTGCTTGATGCGCACGCACGCAGGGACGCACGGCGAGTAGCGGCATTTGACGGCATGCACAAGGCACTCCGGCATGCGCTCGAACACCAGCATTCTGTGCTGCAGGTCGGCGTCACCCCTTGGGCGCATCCCCCCCGCCCCTCCTTCCCGCCCTTGAACATTCTGTTGGTGCCCATACGTCGACCCACCGACGCGTACTGTCCCTCTAGGACTGGGCTCCATCGCCCCGTGTGCAGCCACGTCCGCATTCCCGCGCTGCGTTCCCACCACTGAGGCCGTCCCATCGCTCCGCCCCGCCGGCACCATCAAGCGCCCCTGAGCCGTCCGCATAACCTTGCGCTGCGATAGGCCCGAAGACGCGTCCCCAAGGCTCTGCTTGGTCTGCATGTGCAGACTACGATCATGCGGGATCGTGGCCGCCGCGCCTCAGCTCCCAGCTCCGGACTGCAGCCGCAGGCGAGTCCTCGACGGTTCCTGGTTGTCGCCAGCCGCCCAGCGCCGCGGGCCTCACAGCCACCCTCTGCGGCACCCCGAGCCCTTTGGGATGGAGGCTGGTCGGGAATTGGGTGGCAGATCAGCGCCCTCAAAAGGGCAGAGGGTGGGGCCGGGGTACCTGATTAGGGCATCTGGTAGCTAATTGGAAGTTACTGCCGCGGTGCGGGGGTCGCTAATCGAATGCCCCCCGCGGCTCTTTGTGACGATGTCAGGCGAGCGGCCGCGTCAGGCCCTCTTGTGATTGGATTGCGCGAGGACATCCATGCTTGTGGCACGCATGAGCGCATGCCCATGGGGATGGCCGTATGGTCATGTGGGCGTCGGCAGCGCTGGAACGCGCCTTTCCGCACTTGCTGTCAATCAGGGCGCCCCCGCGGCGCTGGTGTCCTGATTCGCCTCCGCACCACCTCCGTGTGTTCAAGTGCGGGTAGGAGTGAACCGTGGGGTTTGGAACTCGATCCCGCCGACGGTGGGAGCATTTGCATCAGGGATACAGCCCAACGTCTGCGTTTGACAACAGGGACGGAAGGAGCAGACACAAACAGCAACGCAGCCATGAAGGGGACCTGACTGCAGTCTTAGTTGTGGTGGCGCTGGCTGATCATCATGTCCAGGGGGGTTGTGGGGAAAAGTGGACAGCAGCAAATGATGCCGAAAGACAGCGTGTGTGGATTTATGCCCTTCTGCGCTTGCCAGGTGCAATGGGAGTGCTTTGCGATTCCATGACAAATGTAATAGTGTAATAGTGTTGTCACAGGAGACGATGCCGTTCTCTCCGCAGCGACCACTGGCGTGAATTGGCTCATTGCCATTCAACTGACAGAATTTGGTCCCGTTCGAACCCGCGTTGCAAAGCAGCAGTAACTGATCTATTGAAAAATAGAAATTGGTAGTTAACAATGTACAAGCAAACATCATTTCAATACGATTTAAGCAAGGATTGCGACTGTGCGGACTGGCCCAATTTAAAGCTAGCAGACCGCAGTGCGCAGTCATGGGAGACTCATTGGCCAATCCTCATTCTGTGGGGTCAACGCGTCACCAGCCTTTCCGCAGGACACCCCCCAGAGCTCTGATTTGAAAAGGAACTGCTCGGCAACGTGATGCTTCAAGTCTTATGCGTTCTGGCTTGGGCCGGGGATATGCTGTTTTCATCAGGTCTTCACTTCGAGTCGGGAAAACATATATGAGCAGAGGAAAACGGTCCAGCGTTTTTCTGTCTTTAGAAGGTGTGGTGGAGTCTATAGCATGCGGTCTCAGACACCATGTTGGGAGATGTAATTCGTTTGGCCATCGCGCGAAACGGGCGGCGGAAGGATCTGGATGAGCAACAATTGGACTAGAAGGCGTAGGAGTGGCCATGGGCCGTTCTGACCACCGGATTGTTTACCGTCGAATTTGTATCTGCCAGTCGTACAACTGGGATGTCGGTTTTGGCGTATTAGACCTTCGTTTAGTCAGGTTATGGCACGCAAGATCGTGGTATTTACTAAGGACACCTATTTGGAGGCCAGGCAAATGCCGTCTGCGGGTTCCTTCAATTGTCTTCAGTGGATCAAGCAGACGATGACATATGCATATCAAGTGTCTTGTTGTTACCAATTCGCTGAATTCTGCTCTCATATTTCCAGTGCACCATGCAGAAACGATGGTCTACAGAAATGAGGAGCAGAAGCGGAAATGTAGAGGATAAGCATTTCAATATCTCAATCCTGGTTTAGGCCTGAGTTTGCTTACTTGTGGCGAGCCACATCTCAGCCCCGGGACCTTGGGAAGCCTTCACGCACCCACCTTATATCCTTTGCGCTGCTGCCCTGTACCAAATGCTCCTCCAAAGCCTCGAAAACATCCATGCTGGGGTAGAATTCGCCGAATTTTGGTGCCATGGCCCAGTGATGGTGCATTGGACGGTCTTTGCGTTTTTCAACCAAAAAATGGGCCTTGTAGGTGCTCTTCCAGTGCGTCCTGTGTTCGAATACCCAGTTGGATCGCATGGGCATCGTTCCCCGCTCCAATTTACCGCATCAATGTCATTTTGTTGGTTGCAAATTAACAGCAATCCCATTCTGCAATTTGGCCCTTACGATCTTCAAGAATGCGCGGTCACAACAGCCCAAAACGGGCTGCGAGCTGTGCGGCCCCGGACCAGTTTTCCCCTTCTGCTCGCCGACCGCAAAACCGCCTGCCCCACAAACCCTCAACCACCCCGCTGGGCCTCCCTGCCCCGAATTTTTTATTGTTTTCCATCGCGGCGCCACTCCCCAATCCCCGGAATGTCGGGCTCCAAATCCGCCCGCGGGCGGTGTCGCCCCCACCTCTGGCAGCGCCCCACCCTGCCGCCCGCCGGGCCATGAATCTGTAGCCGCCGACGCCCGGCCCGCCGCAGCGCCCACCCCCGGCATGAGCAGCGCGCCCCGCCCGGCGCCGGGCGGCCTGGGTGGCCCGAGGATGCCGCCCGCAGCCCACCCCGGCCGGCGCGCCTGGGAGGCCGACCTGGATGCCTCCCTGCGCACGCGCGTCACGCAGGAGATCCTCCTCCTGTTCCAGCGGAAGAAGCCTAACGTGATGGAGGAGTGGCGTGACAAGCTGCCCGAGTTCATCCGGCGGCTGGAGGAGGCGCTGTACCGAACGGCCAGGAGCGTAGAGGAGTACGCGGACGCCAGGACGCTGGAGCGCAGGCTGCAGACGGTGGCGGAGAAATTGGTGCAGAGGGTGCACAGGGGGGGCGGGGGGGAGTGCGGGGGCCAGGCGCCCGCAGTGCAGATGCTGAACGGCCTGTTCAACGGCGTGGAGGCGGAGGGCGGGATGGGAGGGCTGGGCGGGGGAGCTGCTTTCGGACGAGCGCAAGGGGCTGGCGGTGGAGCGTGGGTGGGTGGTGGGGGGATGATCGGACCACCCGGGGGCCCAGCCGGGTACGCCAACGGCACGATGGGGCTGGCGGGGGCCGGAGCGCAAGGCAGGGGGGGCCGGCCTGCAGCGGGGATGCCGGCGCCCGGCTACAACGGCGACTACGGGGGCGGAGGGCTGGCGAGCGGTCCGCTGATGGACGGCGCGGCGGGGAGGATGGGCGCCGGGGGGGGGCCGGTGATGCGCAACGGTCAGCCGATCGTGCTGCCGCGCGGGCAGCCGCGCGATTGGGGGCCGCTGGACGCGCCCGCGCTGGTGCCGACCAACCCTGTGGGGGACGGCGTCGTGCCCAACCCGTTTCAGCCCGCCGCGGATGTGCCGGCGGCGATGCTGCACAAGCCGCCGGGGCCGCAGGGCGGGCCGGGGCCGGCGGGGATGCAGGCCCTCCCGCCGCCGGTGGCGCAGCAGGGCCACCTGGGCGTGGTGCCGGAGATGGGGATGGCACCCATCGGCACCGGGCACCAGGAGGGCCTGGCGGGGCCCGGCCACGCGCCGGGCCCCCTGCAGTCGGTGCCCAGGGCGCCGCAGCCCCCGCCGGGGCAGATGCCCAGCGGGCGGAGCTTGTACTCGATGCTGCAGGACGACGTGGCGCCGGGCCCGCTGCGCTCCACGGCGCCGATGAACCCCCTGCGCCACTTCCACAGCTCGCAGTCCGCGAGCGAGCCCGTGCTGATGCAGGTGCCGACTTCCGTGACGGTGCCGCCGAACAGGGGGGGCGCCGGTGGTGGCGGGCAGTTCGGGTCGATCGGCCAGGGTATGGGCGGCGGGCACAGCGGGGTCGCCAACGGCCTGCTAAACCTGCGGATTCCAGGGGTGGATCTGTCCGGGCAGTCGCCGGAGGTGGTGAAGAAGAAACTGATGGAGCACCAGAAATGGCTGTTTTTCCTGCGCCACACGGCCAAGTGCAGCCTGCCGGAGACGACGTGCCCCTACCGGGCGCACTGCCTAAGGGGCCGCGAGCTGTGGTCGCACCTGTTCCAGTGCAAGGACGAGGGCTGCCAGTTTTGGAACTGCCACTACTCCAAGCTGCTGCTCAGACACCACTGCAAGTGCACGAACGAACGGTGCGTGCTGTGCGGGCCGGTGAAGGAGAAGGTGAACCAGGTGCGGAAGCTGCAGCAGACGAGGCTGCAGCAGAGGCAACAGCAGCAGCTACGACAGCAGCAACAACAGCAACACCAACAGCAGCAGCAGCAGCAGCAGCAGCAGCAGCACCAGCAGCAACAGCAGGAACAGCAGCGACAGATGGCCATTCTCTCCAGTCAGTCTGCCCAGACGCGAGTGATGGCGAGTCCCCAGGTGAACATGGTTCCACAAGTACCGCAGGTTCCCCAAGTACCGCAGGCACCCCAAGTTCCCCCCATGGCGATGCAACAGACCATGCAAAGGGCGCCCTCGCCGCTCCAACAAATGGCTGGCCCAATCCTACGGCCGAAGCGCAGCTTCTCACAGTATGCGATGAGCACGACAGCCTCCTCACCACATGCCGCCTCACCCCTCAGCCCCATTTCTGTTAGCGACGTACCCAATGGCGTGGGCCTCCAGCCGCCAGTGCAGGTTGTGCCGGTCTCAGAAACGATGCCCAAGACAGCTGTTGTGAGCGGGGACAGGTACAACAAAAGGAGGAAGTCCTTGCTGCCGTCTGGCGGACAGCCAGGTGTCTCCAACACCCTTGGCACGTCCCTCCTTGAGGTTATGACGTTTGAAGAGATCCAGAGGCACCTGCAGGCCCAAAAGGAGTGTGTCCCCCCCTCAAAGAAGGATACCGTCATGCCCACCTCGCTGGAGGACTGTTGCACGGTGTGTGGTCAGGGCGACCTGTTGTTTGAGCCACCTTGCATCTACTGCGACCTCTGCTACCAGCGGATCAAGCGCCACCAGGTGTACTACACGAACCTGCAGGCCGAGGAGCAGGTCAAAGTCAGCTTCTGCCACCAGTGCTATGTGTCGGCGGCCAAGGGGGACGTGCTGACGGTGGGTCACTCCCAGTTCAAGAAGAGCACAGATCTGAGGCGTATGAAGAACGACGAACAGGTGTCAGAGCCCTGGGTGCAGTGCGACCAGTGCCAGAGCTGGGTGCACCAAGTGTGCGGGCTGTTCAACAAGGGGCAGAACGACCAGGAGACTCACTACCTGTGCCCCCGTTGCCTCATGATCGGCCTCAAGTCTGGCACACGCACCACGCTGCAGCAGGGGCGGTCCAAGTCCATGAACACTGCAGCAGACCTGCCCAAGTGCCAGCTGAGCAACCACCTGGAGGAGAAGCTGAGGAAGTCGCTGGAGAGGGAGAGGGCGCAGCGGGCGCAGGCGGCAGGGGTGTCGCCGAAAGATGTGGTGGGCGTTGAAGGGATCACGATCCGGGTGGTGAACAATGTGTCGCGGCGGTGTGAGGTGCTGCCAATGTTCCATGAGGCGTTCAGGGACAAGGACATGCCTGCGGAGCTCCCGTACAGGCAGAAGGTCGTCATGCTGTTCCAGAGGCTGGACAGTGTGGACACCTGCCTGTTCTGCCTGTATGTCCAGGAGTACGGGGAAGACTGCCCGGCGCCCAACAAGAACTGGGTGTACCTGTCTTACATTGATTCTGTCAGGTACTTCAGGCCCGAGGTACAGGCAGCGGGGGGCACCACGTCGCTGCGCACCTATGTGTACCACGAGATCCTGATCGGCTACATGGAGTATGTCAAGAAGTTGGGCTTCAATGCGATGTTCATATGGGCCTGCCCACCGTGCCAGCAGGGGGATGATTACATCCTGTACTGCCACCCACCCAAGCAGAAGACGCCCAACTCCGAGAGGCTGCGCAATTGGTACATGGAGATGCTGCAGAGGGCGCGGCGCCAGGGAATCGTCAGGCATGTGTCCAACCTGTTCGACATGTACTTTGAGGGTGGCAAGGACCACAACCACGATTTTAGCGCGGTCGCTGTGCCATACTTCGATGGGGACTACTGGCCTGGGGAGGTTGAGAAGCTGGTGAAGGACATAACTGAGAGCGGGGCGCAGGCGGACAAGAAGGGCAAGGGCGCTGGGTCGGCTCGGCCTTCGTCCAACAAGAGGAAGGCACGGGGGAGGGGCAACAGCGTCGAGGACCAGCTGATGCAATGCATTGTGAGCGCACAGCCATCGCCGCAGTGGGAAGACTTCATGGTCGTGCACCTGAGGGAACCGTGCTCGTTCTGTCGCAAGTACATCAGGGAAGGCAGCTTCTACGTGTACAAGCCGCCAGAGGGCGGGCAGAGGCCGGTGCAGGAGCGCAAGTTCGAAGGCATCCGTCTCGACGCACCTTTGGGCTCCCGATCTGGGCCCATCGACCATTTCCAGCTCTGCCCTGGATGCTACAGCGCAGTTGAGAATCACGTGAACGCGGGCTGTCCGTCTGGGCTGCCATCGGGGGTGAATTTGCTCGACCTCTACAAGAAGGATGTGGAGCCGGTCAAGGTGATGAAAGACCCGGACATCGCCATCCCCTGCGAGGTGCTGGAGCAGCGCCAGATGTTCTTGTCGCTCTGCAAGGGCAACCACTACCAGTTCGACACGTTGCGACGGGCGAAGCACTCGTCCATGATGGTGCTGTACCACCTGCACAACCCCCTGGCGCCTGCCTTCGCTGCCACATGCAACATCTGCAACAGGGAGACGGAGCCAGGGCAGAGCCTGCGCTGCAAGGTGTGCCCCGACTTTGACATGTGCCACAATTGCAAAGCCATGGGCAGGACGCACGAGCACCCCCTGACGCCACACCGGCAGACTGTAGTCAAGGACGAGGACGTGGCTGGCACGCGCACAAGGAACGATGCCGACCTGCAGCACAGAAAGCTGGCGTTCGAGCGCATGATGAAGTACCTTGTGCATGCCTTCAACTGCCACAACTCGCCGTGCGTCCCCGCGTGCGTGCGCATCAAGCAGCTGTACCAGCACATATTGCAGTGCCCGACGTCCGTGAGGGGCGGCTGCCAGGAGTGCAGGAGGATGTGGACGTTCCTGCAGCTGCATGCCCGCAGCTGCCACACGACAGACTGCCGGGTGCCACGCTGCAGGGACCTCAAAGTGCAGATCAGGCGGCAGCGGGCTCACCATGACGCCATGAGAAGGAAGCAGTACATGATGAGCTGCCAGCAGCAGAGTATGCCGCAGGCGCCCTGTGTGCCACAGCCACATGCTTGATGATGCAGTGGTGTCTGCACGCATGGCTTCGATTCCATGCTTTGGGGGCACACCTCATGCGCAGACGCAGCTTGTGAGACACGAGAAAAGAAGGGGTGGGGGTGAAGTAGGTGTTGGAACGGGAGACAGGGAAGATCTGTAGGCCTAGAGTTTTCCAGGCATGCTGGCAGCGGGGTGGCCAACTCCATCAGCGGGTCGTGTTTGGGTGAGCAGCAGGGTGCGAGTGTTGGCTCTTCTTTTCCGCCCTCCTCTTTATCTGCAATCTCTACCGCCATGCAGGATGATGTGACTGGAGGGCGAAAGGGTTACTTGTTGGTTTGAATCCGACGTGCAGGAGACTGCGTGGCTGGGCGACCCACATCTGCGGTCGCCACACGGGATGAAAGTTGCTTCCAGCGCAGAGGAAAGCATACAGTTGGCATGTTGGGACACTCCTATTATTTTCTTGCATGGCGTGACGCGCACACTCGGGTCGACCTATGCAGGGGTGTGCGGCACTTGAGGGGTGTGTGGGGGGAATTTGTGGGTAGTGTTAGGATGAGGCCCCATTGGCTGTCAGCCATAGGCGCCTTGTAGAACTGGTGGGATGGAAGCGAGAGACGGCATGAACTGGGACTGCACCATGGATGCAGCCGGTGCTGTGGTAGCGTTCTAACTTGTTGCTTCTTTTTGAATGCAGCAGCCAGTGGCTTGTTTCTTTCGCTTTTGTCGAGTCCCTTGGCGCTCTGTCGAATCGTGTGCCAGGTGTTCGAAAGTGACTGTTATGCGAAGTGCATATGCGAAGTGTCCGCATTGCTTCCTGTGCATGTATGTCATGTGTCTGTGGTGGCGCGTCTGCGTATTCGCGAGGATCTGTGTGGGTGGCAAACCCCAGCAAGTGGTGGCGGCGCACCCCTAGTAGTTTGCAATGCGAGACTGCCCACATTGCTTTTAGCCGCTGCCCCAAGGGAAGGATTCTACACAGCAGGCAGGTTCGCTCCAGCCCTTCTTCGAATATCAGTGTTAGACTGAAGGTGCCGCATAGCTGAAAGAACGAAGGGGGAGCACGTCCCCAGTGATGAGGAGGGCGCTTAGCGCACTCCCAAAGTGAAGGCACAAGGGTAACGCCAGCAAGGTGTTGAAGACCGCAGTCGACCGAATCCAATCTACAGCCGTGGCGGCTCCTATCGATATCAATTGCTCTGGCTCAATCTGTCCAAGCAGACTCTGACTACACACTAACTCCCAATCCTGCTGCACACTTGACCCCACACCCCAAAATCCACGAGAGGATAGAGACAGCAAATGGTGCGACATGCATTGCCCATGGTGAGCATTCGGAGAAGCACATAGGTCCCTCCGAGGCGAGCAACCCGAGCAGGCGAGCCAACGAGCGCGACACGCCAGTGGGCTCATATCCTTGTCTTCAAACCTACCGCTACAGACGGTGTTGCCTGCAGTTCCACTCCCACAAAACAGCGTGCATTGGATGGAAAACAGTACCATTCCAGGCTTCCAGATTGCAAGCTACGGCCAGGGATAAGGAACACGCCCTAAGCACCCCGCCGATCCAACGTCTCGACTGTTGCCTGCGGCAGCATCCGGGGGAGCCCTTTTCTCGTGTGACCCATGCACTCGGAGGTACTGACCTCTTCGCCACAGCACAAGGTGTTCATGGACACCCCGATCAAGTTTGGATTTGATAAGGAGGGCGGGCAGCGGTACAGGCCTCTTTGTGGCCCTCACGATTATCGAGTTTCAGGATCTCTGCATCTTTTTTCAGTTCAACATCGAGCCCAATGGCATGCGCAATGGTTGCTCGTGTACCATGCGCCGTGCGGCAGTGCCCAGAGTTCGGTGGATCCACCAGGCTCGGTGTTGTGCGACAGTCAATCCTGGCAAGAAACGGTGTGCGGCATTCTGAGCACCTCACATGCAATGGATCCCAAGATTCCACCATGCAAAAGGATCCTCGCTTTCCAGACCGAAATTTCCCACAGAAGATACTTGGTTTTCTGATGGAAAACCTCTTCTCGTGCCAAAACTCCTGTGACAGGTGGTGCCCACAGACGACAGCCAGCGGCGCCCTGAAACAGTTCAGCGATCAGGCCAATGGCCTGACCCAAGTCTTGCTTGCTTTGTAAGCCAGACTACCCGATACCTGGCACGGTCTGGTCGCCTCAACTTGCAAAACACTGGTTTCGAGCCCCGGGTACTGTTCACACATTTGCACAAGCATTTTGCGTATCAGCGCGGATCCCATTCCAAGATCTGGCTGCGGTCCTGCCAAATTGCAGAGAAGCATACCAGCTTCCCGTTCGCAGTACATGCAGCACCTATCCAGCACCGATTCCAAATCTAACCAACAGCGGCACAAAACGATATGTCTCGATGATGGCGTATGCCTCGGTCGCGATAAACGATTGCACAGTCTTGCAGCAGATTGCGCAGTCCACGACATGGCAATCGTTGTCCATCACATGGACAGGAACACGAGGGATGGGGTGGGGTGGGGAGAGCCATTGAGAACTAGCGCAGGCTGATTTTCCAATACCTTTTATGGTCAGAGTGGGCAGTGCGATTCCCATCCAGAAGGTGGACATTATGATTGGGGTTGTGCACATCTGCGGAGATCGGCTGACAGAGATCTACAACAAGCCCACATAGCATGGCACATTGTGTGTGAAACAACAGAGGTGGCCTCGTTGGTCCTGTCCCTGCCCTCGCTTCTCCCTCGTATATTGGTATCCCGGAGTAGCCAGCTGGCTTCCTGGCAGCTCAAGGCTCACCAGATTGAGCAGGCGTCCATTCTGCATTGCAGCCTGTGTGAAAGTACTCTCGACACTGTGCGGCTACACGATGGCTGTTGTGCTCCAACTTGTGACACGTCCCTCAATAAGATCCCAACTCAGTGAGCGACCAAGATCACCTGCACAGCTCGGACTCTATCCAATCCAAGGCTGGGGCAAGGAATTGAACTCATGAAGAAGCGCGTGCCTACCACTGGGTAATCAACAGTCTCAAGATGGCAACCTCTGCAGGCCTTGAAGATGTCCGCTGAAGACACAGCTGATAGAAAGCCAGCTCACCATACTGATGAAGGCGTTCAACTGCCCTTCAAACACCAGTTTGCAGCCCTGTCTCAAGTTCTCAAGCCATATACTGAAATTCGACGTCAACGCCCACATAGAACTAGCTCTGCAATTCTGCCCACATCAGATTGGCCTCTGCAGAGCTATACAGGGTGCCTGCACCTTAGCCAACGGAGGTAGCTGCAAGTTTAGACACCATGCAGCAAGCCTGACAGCTGCCATTGTCATCCAGCTTCCAACTGCTTAGACTGCTCATGCAACAACCTCTGCCTTGAAAAAACTCCCAAAAATGTGTGTTGCATAGTGAAATTGCATGAGACACATATGCATGGGTACGTTTGCCTATGCTGGCAACTGCCATCAAAGGAATTAAACTGCTCGGAAACTCACCATCATAGGGTCTTGTACCCTCAGAGATTGACA